AATTGTAACATGTGATGAAAAGTGGATTCTTTATGATAACCGGAAAAGAAAAATGCAATGGCTGACCCCAGGTCAAATGCCACAACAGTGTCCTAAAGCAAAACTTACCAATAAAAAGGTAATGGTAACTGTTTGGTGGTCTCAGCATGGTGTTATTCACTATAGTTTTCTCCGATCTGGTCAAGCAATAACGGCAGATGTCTATTGTGCCGAACTCCGAACCATGTTGACAAAACTAGCAGTAAAACAGCCCCGACTCATGAATCGATCTTCACCATTATTGCTCCACGACAACGCGAGACCTCACACAGCACGAGAAACCATTTTGACCCTTCAGGAACTGCAGTTAGAAACCATTCGTCATCCTCCGTATTCACCAGACCTTGCTCCAACGGACTACCATTTTTTTTTCGTGATTTGGACAATTATCTACGTGACAAGAAGTTTTCTTCCCAGGAGGCAGTACAAAATGCTTTCACACAGTTTGTGCAGTCTAGATCGTCGGAGTTCTATCGCAAAGGCATTAATAACCTTCCCATTAGATGGCAGCAATGTATAGATAATAATGGCAACTATTTTGATTAAATAAATTTGTTAAAAATTTAAAAAATAAACAATTTAGATTTTCAGTACAAATCGGCAATTTCATACTTTAACCCCTATTATTTAGGGACAAGCAATTAAATATCTTCTTTTTTATGAATTATTATTTTTTAGTCTGATTCATTGTAGCATTAGGCTCATTTAGGCACATTTCAACCTGTATTCTTTTGAATACACTCCCGCCCATCTAACACTGTTAGTCTGATTTTCGTACCAGTAGCGGAACAACCCAGTGACTTCATCCGGGAGATCCGTCTCACAGCGCAGCATAGCACGTCATATGAGACAAGGTCGAAAGCCTTTGAGAGGTCGAGGAAACACGCATACACAGGTGTCCTTCTTTTTGTGTAATACTGAACTTTATGCTTGAGGCATAATACCGCTACTGTTATTACTGAAATAACTTGCGGCTCAAAAAAAGCTTTTTTTTTTGTTTTAATCAAATTTTAGCTTGCTAGGCATTCGTAACAAACAGCCAAACTTGAACTGCAACAACAGTTCTCGAATAATGTTGACTCAATTTTAAACCAAACTGAAATTATCATGATACTAGGAGATTTTAATTTGAACTTTATCGCTTGGTGCTCTGATAGTACAGGAGCATACATGTTAGCATTTAATTATAATAGAAATTTAGGCTACTCACTAATAGATTTTATACCACTTAATAATCTGTATCAAATTAACGGAATTTCTAATGCGAATAATAAGATTTTGGACCTCGTTCTAACTAATATTAATGGTCAGAGCGAGAAACAATGATTTGTAATTCTATATTCGTTAAATCTGTAAGTGTTTTAAGTTTTTAATATTTGTTTTTGTTTTGTTTAAAAAAAGGAATGATCTCTTGTGTTGTTTATAATTGTATATTTTATAATAATATTTTCCTTCTTCTATTAACATGTGTATAGTTATATAGTTGTGTACTAATTAATTTCTACAAAGTGGTGTACTTATATCAGTAATAGGCATATGTATAAGAACAATTACTCTTACCATAAACCTTTTTGAAGTAAACTATATTTTTGCTGTTGGTGTACCTTTATAAATAAATAAATAAGTAAAATTCACTGAATCTGGCGACTAAGTGGCTAAATCCGTAACACTGCCAAAGAAGGATAAAAATCAAACGCTCGTTCAAGCGCACCTCTCTCACCCCTCGCTACCTAAGGATGCACATTTTGCGGACGCTGTCGCTCAGGTTAGGTACCTAAGTTCTTAGTATTTAGTTTGCGTGTATTTTTCATTATTAATCACGATACAATGATATTATGCGTTACGAATTTACATTTAAATGGTTTTAAGACAAAATCGAAACTCCCGAAATCCCGTATTTTCCTTGGATAAAAACCGAGTTCCCGAATGGACGGTTACTCGGTTTTTTCGGTTAACCGAGTTACCGATTTGTAAGCCTTTTTCACGGAGTAATTTAGTGCCATGAGCTGAGCGGTGAATTTTCCTACTCACCGTCCACAGGCTAATTTGTACAATTCTCATTTCTTCGAGGTTCTTCTTCAGGTCCACGTATGAAGCTTTTCGATTTCTCAATTCTCGGTTTACTAGAACGCAGTCGCCCCGTGATTCTGTGCATGGCTTTCTTTCAGAATCTGTTCTGCTATTGACGAAACCGGTCTCTTGATATCGTTGCCAAGTTCTCTGAACAGTCGACTGACATTGAGCTTCTGGGCGCATAGCACTGAGAATATTTTTTTTCAAACAGCCGAATTTTTATAAAGCGGTCTCTAAAATTGTTGATCCATTTTACAGACCGCTTTATAATGGTATTAAAACTTAAATTCATTAATCTAATCTAATCTAAGTTATCCAGACTAGAGAACTAGTCGAAAATTATCCAATATTTCATAAGAATTTTCAATAATTCGTACTGTTTTATGCAGTTTATTTACAAATTACTTTTAAAACCTTTTACGTAATGTAATTACTTAAAGAAGAGGAAAAATCAAAGGTGACTGCTTTTTTTGCGAGTTTAAGTAAACAAGTTCATGTAGTTAGTAGTAGTAAGTAACTAATAAAGACTAAAAGTAAGTTTTCAGAGTTCGTCCAGGAAGTTACTGCCCACCTTACCTATTTTTGCCGTCAAGTAGTAATGCGAAGGTTACCGCGTTCTCATCTTAATGAAATTTTGATGATACTAAAGTGTGGGTAGATCAGTTTTCCCTTAAATTTTAAAGTTTACAAAATTACCCAGCTCAGAAATTCTATTTTTGTGCCCAATAAGAGACGAGTTTCATACTTACATATTTTTTGAAATCTGAACAAACCATTTACTATATTCTGGATTCAGAAAAATTCTACGAAATTGAATGAATTTAATATTCTTCTTCTTACTTAAGAGCTAGGCTCTTGCCGGTGGAGTAATCGCTAACCATATAAATTTATTATTATTGATATAAAAACAAAAGAAACACAAAGAAAAATTCCTTTGACCGACTGAACTCGCACTAGCGATATTTGCCCCAATGTGGCTACTACTCTGCCAACTGAGCTACGGATCGAGCCAGCAGATCTTATAAATTTCTTTATGTGCATGTTGCGGATCTTTGTATTGGGCCTAAACGACTAAACTTTCTTTGTGTTTGTTCCATCTTTGTATCAGAATATCATACTAGAAAAACATCTTGACATTCAACAAAAAAATAAACTAACATATTGCAATCTTTGAATTCATATTTAATTAAACTATCATATATCATATCACATCTACCATATTTCTTGAATGAACATCAAACAGGAATGCTTCCAAACGATTGTTATCTTACCCGCGCACTAACGCTCGCATCGCGGTCGGTAGAGACAGCAACAATATTTTTAATTGACAACTCGGCAGTGTGGACTATTAAAATCCACTCAGTAGGTGCTTCTTAAAAACTACAATTACATATTGAAACAATAGGTAGGTGTATATAAAATTATCTAATCTGTCATTGTTAGGTATCATCTCTAATTCAAGTTTAGGATGCAGTAGAAAGTTCCGCGAGAGAGTAAAACAAACAGATATTACAAAAACTAGCTTACTTACTGCAGTTTCGCATCGATTGAGGGTACATTAATATTATTTATTTGATAGAGATGACACACTAGTCACTCATATGATTAATTTTAACCAACAATGTTTTATTTGAACAAGCTATTTTTGTCAATCACGCTTTTTGAAAAATACACAATCTGTTCGCTTTACTCTAACTCCATTTTTCTGATTTTGTTACTTTTATCATTATTATCATTTACCCGTTCTTATCACTCATGTAAAACAATCTAATGTCAAACATAGATAAATTAGAACATTTAATAAAATTGGTGGGCATCTTGATGCTCACATATTTTTTGAATACGCTTGCTTTACTCAAACAAGACAATTGTACTGAAAAGTGTTAAATGAGTTACTTTTTAATTTACTTCCTCTAAAATACGTGAAAAATATGACATAATCTGTTAATAAAACAAGAATGACTCTACGAAAAACAAGAATGTTCAAAACCGACATTGGTCCGATCTCCTGACAGTAACAAATGAGACTAGCGTCAGCGGTCCTCTCGCGGCAAAGATTTAGAGGGGAAGCAATATGGCCGCCAAATAAGTGCTCCTCATTGGTTGATTTCAACCTGTTATGGATTCTGGAAGCTTTTAATGATATTGTATTTCGAAAGATGGTTATTTTATTTTTGGTTATGATCTGCACACACCGGTAGGTAGTAGATATATCTACTTTATCAATAAGGGTGCATTTTATTTTCATAATTATTAGTCATCAATCGTCGTTGCTGCAAATTGTATATTCAAAAGAATGAGGCCTTAAAATAACTTACGTATATAAAATTTTGTACTAATAGTGGATGTGTGTGTGGTTGATAGTTCTGACACTTATTTTTGGCTATAGTATATATAGTCTATAGCTAAAAACAAGTTCAAACGTGGTTGTTAATATTATTCCAATTCAAGTATTTTACCACCGGTTTGTTTAAAAAACTGTTTATTATTAACTACATTACTACACTATCCATTCCCATTTCAACAACATTCATAAATAAAATTAATTTCTATTTAAGCGGTATCGATTACTTCCTTTCCTAATTTACATTTTTGCATTAAAATAAAAAAGATTCTTAAACTATTCTAACTGGTTATGAAAACACACATTATGTTTTATTCATTACAATCAAGAATTGAATTTACTTCTAACTATAACAATTTACGCACTGTAGATGACAAGCGACCCCCGCGGCGGCGTTTATGATATTCTAGTCTCTTAGAATGTAATTAAACCATAACAATCCTTGTGATTCTTGCGGCGTGTCTCGTTAGTTGGTTTGTTGAACCAGAACCGATACCATATGTAGGTATTCAACGTTTGTGTGTTGTTATAAAATTGTTGATAAACATTGCTTTTTTTAAAGTGATTTGTTAGTAGGTGGTTTTCTACGCTATATTTTTTATTATTCTGTATTCAGCTAATATGAATATTTGCATAAAATTTCTTTACAATAAGATACGTCTATCGATCTTATTCATTAATCCAGTTATATAGATGTTTTTTCATGTAAATTTGACAAGTAGAGCTACATTCTCGCCAATCGTTCCGGTATCAACGTCTGGTGCATCGAACGATACACGAAGAAACTTTACGACGCCGCACTTGCTCGGATCGCCCGTGCTGCGGGCAACCCGGTGCCGATACAATTCTATCGCGAGTTGCGAGCGGACCGTTCAATTAATCGCTCCGATTAACGTTGTCTCTCGGACGTCAATGGTGCTGGATTACCGAGGGTGGTGGTGTCCTTTTCTGTTGGTCCCAGATTTAGTGCGGCGCCGCGGCGTGTGGCGTCGCTAGCGGGGGGTGCGGCGTCGCTCGTAAAGCATCGGTCCGCACATTCTACTGACGCGCGCCTCGGCGACTACGCGTTGCGTAACACCGCGCCATAAACAACACGACGTGTTCACCTCCGCACCTGACGATCGACTACTGCCGGCTATTTACCCACGTGCGCCACCGCTACACGCATTACGTATTGCGCTCATGCCGCATCTAAAACGCTGACACGTGACTTGACGGAGTGAAACTCTGGGAACTCTTTCGGAACTGTGAGTTTTGTGAAGAAGTTATTAGAGAACGGAATGGCGCGAGCCCGTTTGCCGTCGGCGAGCCGCGGCCGCCCGGCTTAAGGTGAGTTTATTGCCGATTTATAGCTCCCAACTTGACTACCGTTGGGAACAGAGGGTCCGACACGAGTTCAGTTTGTTCAACAAACTTTGGCACGTGTTTCTTTGGCTCTATTGGGAAGTTTGAGAATGATTTAGGTTGACGTGAGAGAGGAAAATGCGAGCGACGAACGACCTAAACTAACGGCACAGCGAGTTAATATTTATTATGCCTACGTTGCCGCGTGCACGTGGAATACTCACCGATGTAACGCAGATTGCCGTAGTTTACAACTACCAAAACAGTCATAAAACTTCTTCAAAATACAAACTAAATGTTATTCTAATAAGTACTTGTAAAACTGCGAACTCTGCTTATAATAAAATGCCTTGAAATGTGGTAAGAAATCTTTATTTTAAGCGCAAAGGATGCAATACAGCTGATCTAAATTGAATGTTATATTTAAGCAGCAAGAGTTCTTAAATTCATTTCCTTTTTATATTAATATCACACTTATACATTTTATAAAATCATAATTAAATTTCAAGTCCTAAAAAGGAATCTATTCATGTGTAGTTTTAACCTAGATTAATAATTAATTATATTACTATGAACAATACATATACGATATAAGTACATTGAAAAATAAAATGCAGCAGTTAGAAATTTAACAGTAGATTCAAACAAATCCTATATCCTATAAGTCTCTACATTTAATGGAAAACATTAAAAGTGTTCAAAAACGTATAAGATCTGTCTTGTCTATTTGCAAGGTATTGTAATCTATGACAAACAATTCTTTTCCTTGTAAATAGAAGTAATGGCTAGCTGTGAGATTTCTAGTTACATATCAAAAAGTTAAAACACTTTAAGCATGGAAATATGAACTCACATAGAACTTCGATTAATTTGGACATTTTAAAAATAAATTTGAAAGAGATTTTTTCTGCATTATTTTATCTAAAAAAATATATCTATGGTGCCATACATACATATTTTTTTGCATTCATGCCTTGCCTAAAATTGTCTTAAAACGAAACATACAAGCCAGACTTGTATAATGAAAATGTCATTTACATAATAATATATTTTTATTATTATAATGACAAATCATCAAACATTTTAATTTATTATATTTCAAATGAGCGGTAATTATAAACTTCTCATCTCTTAATAACGGTTAATTAAATTACATGTTCATTTTCATTAACCTGTTTAATTGTTTTGACTATGATTTGTTGTTTTATAGATTATAATTTGACTAAGGGTACTTTTTACTTAATGACAAAATAATATTGACTGTCAATAATGACATCATGTGCAGTTAAATACATTAATTACATAGTAATAAAAAAAAATCACGTTCTCGCAAAAGAACCAGAGATCGCATTTTGTTTCAATTTAATATGGACAAAATCATAGTAAGTATCAGTCTCAGAATTGATAATTTTATTTGATAAAATTGTTTACACAAGTTACGGACTACAGCACATCAGACTACACCTTTTTGTTCGGAAATCGTCTTCAGTGCAACGGAACAAGACAAGACTAGAGCTACACATTGGCGTCAATGTGTAGCTTGATGTGCTGTTGACTGTACATTAAACTAATTAATTTCAAATCACATTAGAACAGTCTACTACATTAATACTAAATGGCCCTTAGTTTATATTTCCTTAGTAGTTTTCATTGAAAGATATTAAAAAATAGTTGTTAGTTTCTATTTCGAATATAGTAACTATTCCAATTGCAAATTACTTTGCATTAATGCTCCAAGCAATAAATATACAATATTGTACATACTAGCCTAATTTATTTATTAGTTTTTTATACAATTTATGTTCTTCTTGTAAACGGTCGCTTGTTTACACATTTATTTGGCTAATGCCAAATATTTGGCACCGTTTTAAGGGATTTCGAGTTTTCACATATTTTACTGAAAGATTTATTATTATTCTGTTACAGCTTTGGTAACAAATTGTAAGAATTTTTCAGATTTTGTTATTAAATGCAAATATACATTATAGACCTAAAATTGTTATATATTTTAATTGACATTCAATTTTTTAATTCGATATCAATTAAAATTTTAATGCATAGAAGCATATAACAATAACTATAAAATGCTAGGCAAACACATCAATTAACTGACCTTAAATTAGGGAACCTGTATAAGTACCAGAACAACAGAATACTCTCTGGGACACTACACCCAGAACACAGTGCGTTGTGTATTGTTAATAAATAATTAATGACTAGAAAACAAAAACTTTTTCTAATTAACGTAAGAACAAATAGTTTGCCGATTATAAAGAAATGTGTCTGCTATGATTTTGAACAAAGATACGATCTAAGAATTTTTTCTAATAACATTGACGCACCTTTATACACTGCTCGATAATTTTATAAGTAATATACAAGTCCTAGCGTTCTTAAGAGTAATAACAACCTAATAAAACAATGGTGCGAATAGTAGAAAAATAAAGGTGTAAAATAATTTGTCCTCAGAACTTCCTTAAACTCAAGGAGAGATGAAAAAACTAGTTCAAGAAGCGTCATGTGGTGCGCAAGAGCAACCTATTTTAAATTCTGCTCAAGTGCGCTACCATATTTGTCTGATTTCACATCACCCTGTTAGATCTCAATCTCTGCTTATTATTCAGTGATGTAGAGAATTGCTTTTTGTCATGTTGAGTTCGTCCCAAGATAATTTTGATGAAGAACAAAGTCCTTTGTATTATAAAGATGCTTTAAGTTTGATGATGAGTCATAGTAAAGTTGTATATAATGAAAGCATTGTTTGCAAACATACTGAAGAAAACACTATCAAATAATTTAGAAGCTCTAATTGAGTACTTAAAGAAAACCTTTATAATGAGAACTCGCCTTTTTTATTATACCATGTGACAGGACGAACAAGTGGTGCTTCTGGTTGTAAGTGGCACGCCCGCCCATAACAACTGCAGTGCTACTCAGAGCTTTAAATCACAAAGATTGAGGGGCACTGCCATAGCACCCCTTACCTGAGACATAAATTGACAAGTTCCTTGTGCCTGTAATTACACCTAGCACTATTACCCTTCAAAACTGGAACGCAGGAATACTCACATTACTGCTTGGTTTAACTTTTCACATGGAGCTCTACTGCCACTAAGCCTCTTGAGTTCTATTCCCAACGTGCTCACATTACTGAGTCCTTTCTAATCCTAAGGGTCATCACCCGTTTTAACTTATACAACACAACTATGTGATGAACTTATAACATATGAATCTCTAAAGACTGGTGATGTTCCTAACATGCAGTGTGGTGAACTATGACCTAAAGTTCTAAGTTAAGAAGAAAATATTATTTCATGCCCAGCATAATACAATGAAATCATCAAAATTGACCCAAATCACTATAACCGCGTTTAAATTGTTTATTGCCTTATTAAATCCATGTGAGCACGATTTGCTATCTAAAAAAAGAACACGTTACACCTAGTTTAGCTAGCTGAAATGCACTTCTAATATGATTGTATTCCTAATGTTTGGCCGGATATAGTGAAACTACACCTATTGTATTCCATGACAATTTCTATACAATTGGTATTTCCAGAAATAATATAATGAGTTTTGCATTCGAATTGGCTTTAAGAAATTGTCATATGAATAGTCTTTTAAAGATAATTTTTCATCACACGTGCTCGTAAATAGTGTCAGACAAAGTCGATCGTAATGTCTAGAATTATGTCCACGGGTTTTTTCAATACAATACAAAATACAAAAATTCCTTATTGTGCACCAAAAAAGGAAACAAATACAATACAATTAAATAAAAAATAAGGGGTGATACAATGGGCGGTCTTATCGCTTTAAGCGATTTCTGCCAGACGACCTTTGGGTGGTAGTAATTATATAACTCACAGGAAAAAAACGGCGGTGTATGAAGAATTACTAATCAATAGATAGAAAATCGATAAATAAATACAAATAACGTATATATATATAAATACTAAAACCAATACATATATACTCGTATAAATATCAAGAAAGTACTATATATATATTCCTACACATGTAAAATGCAATTTCATTACATTATAGCCCTATGAATTTTTTACATCAAGATTAAGAAAAAGTTTATACGCTAGAAAACTCTGAACGTATACACAATAATAATACAATAATATACAGATTTTTTTTATACTTAAAATATGAAAAAAAAACTAAACTGTTTTACTGAACAACTATTTCACAGAATTTATTTTGTGAATTCAAATTCTGCAGTGTTTAATTTGGAAATTATTTATTTTATATCTAATACATGGGGCTGCATACCTTTTATAACATTTTAGTTCGTGTTGTATTTATGGAAGATTAGCTGGCAATCTTTTTTTTTAAAAAAAAGGCTGGCCATTTGCAAAATCCGTAAAGGTTGTGTTGTGAAGTGATATTTATTCATACAAGAAATAAATTATCGCTGTATCTATTTCCTCGCAATTGTGATGTATGACATTGTATGTAACACGGGCGGTAAAAATTACAAACCTTTTGTCATTACAGCCTTCAGCCATCAAACTCTCGTTTGTAATTTCTTACTTACCACCCAATTTACTATTAAAGGTAACTTAAAATCTGTGGATAAAACAGATACCTAACATAAAAATAGTATTACAGAAAAAGAGCGCTGTGATAGTTCGAAACATTAAACAAGAACAATAGAAAGGGTTAGTTAAGGTTAAAGAATGAAAATTATAACGATAAGTATGCGTGAAATTCTATTCAACTAACAAGACTGATTAGCGGTTGATTGATGGTTTATACTAGCACCTTAACTTCCCGTGATAATTATGCAAATGAAATCAACAAAACCTATAAACGCTTCGATGAACACACGTCACTTATAAACAAATTGTACTCATTATAAGATCAAAGATCTTTGAGCGTCAGAGTACCATATTCTGATCGCACGTTGAAGACAGCATAAAAAACATTGAAGTTAAATTCAAGAGTACTAAATAGCGAGCATGAAATTGTCTTTC